AGGCCCTTCCCGGGGCGGCCTCCCCCGCACTCCCAGCAGCTGGGCGGAAAGGCGCGAAGGTCCTCTCCATGGAGACGGCTCTACCGCCCCCGCTAGAAAAGTTGCTGCCCCCGCCCCCCCGGATCCTGCGCGACGCGGCCGGGTTAAATCCGGACTGGGACGTTGGAGTTCACTTACTCCGGTGATCTTTGGCGGGAGGTGGGGGGCAAGGGGCGTCTGAGGATCCCGTGAGATCCCTGGACCCTTTATCCGGAAATCGCCCGTTCCTCCATACCCACACACTTTTGCAGAAGCGGGTCTGCGCCCTCTAGGTTTAACAGCGCTGAGCCAGTCCCACCCCAGGAAACAGGGCTGGAGGGCTTGGGTGAGGCCCTGTGGTTCCTGACTGCCAGAGCTGGGGTTCGGGGCTGCCTCCTGACCCCAGGCTGTGCTTCACATCCCCGAATTTTCCTTGGTTGTCTCTAGCCACACACACCGCCAAAGCGGTGCTGGGGATAGGGGCGCTTTCTTTTTTACGTTGGTGGACTGTGGGGATGGGCAGCTGTTGCCGGGGAGAAGGCCAGGGAGAAGGCCAGGTACAGTCGCCTACAGAACAGATGCGCATCCTCAGGCGAAGTGCGAGGTGGGCGACCCTTGGCTTCAAAGCATTCCTACTGAAAATTCAAATGACCCTGGGAACGGAGTTGCTTCAACCCAACTTTCTTATTTTCCGTCAGTGCTTATTAGGCCATGCTATCCCCGGTTTCATGAAAAATTTTCAACTTCACATGTATTAAATAAATTGAAAGCTGTTCAAGGCAAGGAATTGGACAGACTGGTCCTTCTTCACCTGGGCATCTGACCGAGGACTTTGTTCTTTTAGGTCTACCTGTACCCTGTCCCATGATATCCACACACCTGTCAACATGCAGGTGCTGAAAAACCATGGACTTTTTGGTCTCAATGAAGCCCAGCTTCGGATCCTGCTTTTGCAGAATGACCCTTGTCTTTTACCAGAGGTGAGTCACCGAGGAGTCACCCTCATGTCACATTCGTTACAAGTACTTTCCCCATTTACTTTTCTTTTGGCTTTAGATATTTTAATTGCTTTGAAGCAACATGATTCAGTTTCACACGCTTTAAAGGTACCCTTTATAATTGCTATCATGGCAAAATAGTATGTTTGTTTGGGTTTAGCCATATACAAAGAAGTTTTAAAAACAAAATAGTACAATCCCAAGAGAAAATTGGAACATCAATTAAGACCACCAATTAAAAGCAAGATTTTCTTTTCTTTTTTTTTTTTTTTT